TTTTTCGTTAACTTCGAAACAGATCACTTCTTTGAATAGAGTTGATTAAACATTTGTTTAACAACAAGTAAAAGCTTGGAATGGTCTATTCTTTCAATGGGGGTGTGTCTGTGAGCCAGAGACCATTCCAAGCTTTTACTCGTTGTTAAACAAATGTTTAAACAACTCTATTCAATTATGTACTACAGCTGCCCAGTGTCGACTAACGATACGAAGAATGGCGGAATGCTACAAGTTCTTCAAATACCTATAGAATGATAGGTTTTTTTTTTGTGAGTGTAAAACACTTAAATACACCAGATCTCTTCTTTGTTTCCCAATCCTAGATTTTTTATTGTTCTTTCTATTAGTATTATCTTATCCTTCCAAACTTATATTATCGGGAATCTTTGATAGCAGGTTATCAACGGTTTGAAGAGCATCAGCTGATGAAAACAGACAGACTGGTCGAAGGAAAACCTTTGGTTTACTAAACCTTATTTGTTCCCACTTGGCCTATCAATGATAGTGGTTTCAAAAGGAGAACATACCTGATCCTTCTGCGGTTGGTAATCCCTTCCCATGAGACGAGTTGGCTATTCCCATAGTTATCCCAGCAGACCTCATGTTTCAGTTGCTGTCACTATGTCTTTCTGTTTCCTAATTGGGTAGAATTTGTACTAGACCTCTGAAAGATACTAACAACAACAACAAAAACAAACAAACACTGATGCAAATAATTTCAATTCTCTACGGTTATTGTTACTAGTAAATGCTAATGTTATTAATTGTAATTGTAAGAGTGATGGAATTAGTGATATCGAGTTGGTGGAATAAGCGTGATGAGATTTGACCAGACGACCATGGTGTGGGGCTGGTAGAAAGAGAGCGATGTGAATTTAATTAGATGAACACGATGAGGGATTAGTAGAAGGAAAGCGGTGTGGATTTGGTTAGATGAACATGGTGTGGAATTGGTAGAATAAGAGTGATGTGGATGGTTAAACGAACATGGTGTAGGATTGGTAGAAGGAGAGTGGTGTGAATTTGGTTAGACGAACATGATGTGGGATTGATAGAAGGAGAGTGGTGTGAATTTGTTAAACGAACATGGTGTGAGATTGGTAGAAGGAGAGTGGTGTGAATTTGTTAGACGAACATGATGTGGGATTGGTAGAAGGAGAGTGGTGTGAATGTGTTAAACGAACATGGTGTGGGATTGGTAGAAGGAAAGTGGTGTAAATTTGGTTAAACAAACATGGTGTGGGATTGATAGAAGGAGAGTGGTGTGAATTTGTTAGACGAACATGGTGTGGGATTGGTAGAAGGAAAGTGGTGTGAATTTGGTTAAACGAACATGAGTGTGGGATTGATAGAAGGAAGAGTGGTGTGGATTTGATTAGACGAACATGATGTGGGATTGATAGAAGGAGAGTAGTGTGGATTCGGTGAACTCAAGATGGCGTCCAGTTTTTGGCGACAACGAGGTTTGGAGTTAGTTTCACGAGTGAGAGTAAAGTTAATAAAATAAACAGTGTTCGCAAAGTATCATGTATGGGCGTAAGGATGTTGAAACGAACGGCCTGTGGATTTGGTGTAAACAATAGGTTTATTGTTGTTAAATGAACTGAGAGAGGAGTTGGTTTATTGATGGAGTGCAATGAAAAGTGTAGAGTTGGTTTGATTTATGAGTTCAAAGTTGTCGAAACAAAGGGAAAAACGGGATGTGTGAGCTTGGTATACAGAACTGGGTGTGGACCTTATGGAATAAGTTGGATGTGGAGCTAGAGAGATAAACAACGCCTGTGATTATGAATTAATGAAATAATTAAAATATTTAGCGCAGTTAATAGACTTTCTAATGTAAATAACGATTCATTCCTCTTTTTAATACATAATTACATTTCATTTCAGGGGAAATAAAAATTTCAGAGAGATTGAGAAACGCGTCCTTGATAATATTATAGGACCAGGAAGGTACGATAGCCGGATTCGACCTCATGGAGTCAACGAAACAGGTGAGTAATCACTGTTTCATATATTGTATCTTGATCCACTACTAGTCAGGTGGGTAGCCTTTGTTTCATATATTGTATCGTGATCCACTACCAGTCAGGTGAGTAATCATTGTTTCATATATTGTATCTAAATCCACTACCAGTCAGGTGAGTAATCATTATTTCATGTATTGCCGTATCTAGATCCACTACCAGTCAGGTGGGTAGCCATTGTTTCATGTATTGTATGTTGATCCACTACCAGTCAGGTGGGTAATCATTGTTTCATATATTGTATCTAGATCCACTACCAGTCAGGTGGGTAATCATTGTTTCATGTATTGTATGTTGATCCACTACCAGTCAGGTGGGTAGCCTTTGTTTCATGTAGTGTCGTATCTAGATCCACTACCAGTCAGGTGAGTAATCATTGTTTCATGTATTGTCGTATCTAGATCCACTACCAGTCAGGTGAGTAATCATTGTTTCATGTATTGTCGTATCTAGATCCACTACCAGTCAGGTGAGTAATCATTGTTTCATGTATTGTCGTATCTAGATCCACTACCAGTCAGGTGGGTAGCCATTGTTCCATGTAATATCGTATCTGGATAATAAATGATAAAAATCTTGTATGTGATAATGACAGACTTAAATCTGTCTTTCTAATTGGTATACAAACATTGTCTGTTAAGTAACTTCAATATACTTTGTTACACAGTTCGTGTATATTACCTAAAGACTATCTTTTATACATTTATATTATACATAAATATATAAAGATGTCCATCGGTGGTACAGCGGAAGGTCTACGGACTTGGAACTCTAAAATCCGAGGTCCGATTCTCTGGATACAGCAGATAGCCGAATGTGGCTTTGCTATGAAACAAAATACACGCACACATACATATAAACTGCTATTTAAAAAGTTGTGCTGTACATATAAACTGATTTCTAAACAGTTATACTATATATACAAATATTAATTT